TTACAAACCTTATGAAAACCAGCAGGAAGATGGTACCTAGGCAAGTAAGCTTACCAGCCACTCAAATAACAAATCTTTTGAAAACTAGCTGTAAAAAAGTATCAAGCCAGTAAGGTTATCAGCCAGCCAAATCTTATGAAAACTACCTGAAAGATAACACCCAGGTATTGAACAGGAAGCTTTTCAGACAGTGATCCAGCAAGAATTAATATTGCAGGCAGGAGTTAGTCACACTGGTAGCAGATGTACAGGAATGAAAGCTACTCACAGACAGCCTTTCTTCTTCTGCAGCTTTCTTCTTTGCAGCAAGTTTCTTAGTCAATGGCTTTTTCTTTGCTTTGCCATAGGGAGAGTCTGAAACCACAAAAAATTCACTATGATAATGGTAAGAATTGTAACTTGAGATTTCGGTGTGTCTTTATAGTGGGGATGACATTAAAGTTTTACTATAAAACGCAATTGTGATATGGAGTAAATAGTTTGTGCCGGGTTCACATTGGAATGAAAATTGTATAAATTTACGACAACTGTTTTTAACATTTTGTTGTAGTAAAGTTTCCAAGTGTCTGCACTTGGATTACTTGCAAGCAGCGGAAAGTCCCAAGCCACTTAAAACCCGAACTGGGCTATCCTTTCAAAACCTCAAGAGCAATCCTGTCATCAACCTTTACCCAGATGTGGCCTAATCAGGGAAGTTCATCAATTTTAGACTTTTTCCCTTAGTTATCAATTCCTTCACTTTGCACCTCAGGTTTTCCTTACATGCATGTGCAGTACTATATACACAGGCTACAACGAGATCATAGGGATTACCCAAGATCCATTCACACAATCAAAATGTAAGTTTTATCCTTCAGTTCCTCTCTGCATGGGACTTTCACGTGACATAACACTGACAATGTAATTCTTCCATGAACCTGTTCGCCCTGCAAATTTTCTGCAAAGGTAAAACTAACAATAAATGACTGTTACCAGCTGTCAGCAATAAATTAAATTTTGCCAAATTGACAATAGTCTCTGTAAGTTTTACCGAAAGAAGTTTAACGTCAACATTGCTTTAATATTTTATTAAAAACCATCCTCACCAGATTCGCTGTCTTTTGCAAGAGACTTGGTCAATAGTGCTTCTGTGAATAAGCGTAACAATAAAAGACTATTACAACTTTTTTCAGCTAAACATTATCATAAAGTATCAGAAGACATACAGAGTAACTGCCCAAGACTGAAACAATAAACTTACAATACATCAAGAGAAAACCAGCATCCTAGTATTGACAGCCATAAATACACACATTCAATACTAACCCTTTCTTGCAATTGATGCTCTATTGGGTCTGACTGCAGGTGTGTCTGTATGGGATTCTAAGCTGATGGTGATAGTTACATCCACGCCATCATCTTCAACACTAGCAGAAGTTATCTGTCATCAACATAAATTGAAAAAAATACTGTATGCCAAGTGAAATGTTTGGATGTTGGTAATAAAACTGCTCACCAGTATTGCGTGAACCCACTGCATACAGTTAGTTGCCTTTTGGTTTTCATAAACCATTTTAATCTTATAAACTGAAAGGTTTTCCACATTACTTGATTCCTAATTAATCAAAGGAACGAATTCATGTCAAAACATTTGTTTCACAAATTGTATGTACACCTCAACACGACCTTTCATGAAAACCAAACTAGTTTTTTTACGCATTACTCCTGAACTGGGCACACAAGATGCTCTCATGTCAAGTTTTATAAAATCTTTTATGATATAGTACGTATCAGTATTTCTTCACTTTAAAGCAGAGTTTGTCAATTTGTAGTTGATAAAGCAAACTAAAAGTAGAGTGAGTCAAAAATATACGTAAAACTGCTTTATTTCTAATAGCAAAAGATTGAAGCAAACCCATTTACCTTCCCCATCTTTGGTTTCCCAATGTCTGCTCGGAACTCTGCCTCCTTCTGAGTAAAGGCTTCCAGGTGAGCCACTATATGACCAAGTTGTTTCTTCCAGTAACCTTTGCCTGGACTTGTCTCCATTAAGTTAGGTTTCTCAGTCTTCATTGATGTGGATGACTCTCTCATCATTCTCACATCCTCTACATCTCGTTCTCTCCTACTGAGCTGCTCATGAGTTGGATAGAACAAGCCCACAGTTTGTGTTCCTATCTCTTGATTGAGAACTGCTGGTAAAGGTACGCTAACAGGGCGCCAGCTATTGGCATAGGGCTGTGAAAGAAACATAAGCACATTCACTTAAAGGCATGTATTCAACTAAGAATTTTAGTCTTCCTTGGGAAAAGGCATAAGACTTTTATGAATTGCTTCTTGTAGTAACAAAGTTACATGAGCAGAATCTAAACTCACAACTTTCTCCTAATGGCTGAGCTGACCAGAGCTATCATGCTAATAAATAGTTATAAACATTATTCTTCACTCCTTTCCAAATATTCAGTAAGAAATTATTCCGCCACAATATTAGGACAATAAAGACAACTGTCTTTGGTATAATCAATTTCTGATTTTAATTTAAACAAAGTGAACTTTTACATGTACTGTACACGATATGTTTGAAGGTATAACATTAGCACTGAATTTATTGCTTGAAAGTGGAAGGTGCTTAAGTGACATTTTTCAGAAAAGAGACCATCTCTGAGTGACAAATAAACCAACAGAAACTAATTTGTTTTCAACTGCATGCAAAAAAAGACTCACATCAACGATGACAGGTGGTTGTACATGTTGTGGTTGCTGTGGTGGTTGGGGTTGAGGTGGCTGGTGATACTGAACAGGTGGCTGGCTTTGCCTGGGACTGGTCTGTTGATGCATATGATAGCTGCACCAGGAAGAGTTAATTATGTTGTGGTATGAACAAAATGGGGTCAAGGGGGAAGGGAGAGGGGTTGATACTCAGCGGCTGGTGCCTGGCTTTTCCTACAACAGTCAATTGCACTGAACCTGCAAACAAGTCAGAATGGACATGACCAAAGGGGGGGGGCATGGGATGGGGCCCTAAACTTAAACTTGATTTTGCCTTGGAGAGACTGGCTTTGTAAACCTGTCAGAAGGGGCATAGCCATATAGGGGCATGAGTGGACTTGGGCCCAGGAAACTGGTACAAATACCAGTACATGTACAGTACATGTGTACTTGGTTTTGCCTGGTGTGACAAGTGGAAGGACATTTGTAGGGGAAAGACCATGTAAAATGTATATCAATATCAGGTGCATGGGGGAGGATCAACAGACGGATTCCACCTGCAATATTATGTGACCTATAGTGGGTATCAAAAGTCAGCAAACAACGTGTCCTCCCACAACAAAGTGGGACACAAGAGCCATTTACCAAAAGTGAAGTCAATGGTCTGTAAAGTGCTGAGACTACTGACATGCTGAGAACTAAGAATTGGGTTTAGTTTTGTTAAACAACACTTCTAACACACTTTGCTATGAGAGAACACCTTGTTAGCTGATGTTTGATACCCACGACATGTAGCTCAAGTGCAATTAGTCTATTTATTTGGGAAACACTTTTATATGAAACTACAGTAGCCCTCTAGCACTTTTAATGGCAAAATATACTTATAATATGTATTTATTTACAGTATGTGTCCCCAGGACATCAAATGCATTCATCCCATTAAAATGAACATGCACTTAATGGATGGGTTTACAAATCAAAACCAATGGAACAGTAAGCACCGGTACCGTGCCCTCTGTCATGGAAGTGATTTGGGTGAATTTACAGTGCAACCTGTTATTACAAAAACAAAAGGGAAAAGGTTTCAACTTACTGAAACATGTAGTCAGGGTTCTTCTGTAGGGTAGTGAGTGCTTGAGTAGGAGCAGTGGAGCCCCATGCATTGTATGGACCTGTCATCCCAGAGTTGCCCAGACCCTGCTGCACATGAGAAAAATGACCAATATCCTGGATCATCTGTGTGCGGAGCCAATGATTTTCCATTTCAAAAGTGGGTATTTTCCGTTTCGCCAAATCCCAAATTCTGCATCAGAAATTCAAAATCCATTTCATACCTTCGTATGCATGAAATAGAAGAACAAGTTTTAAACTACATGTACATGTATGCATAGAAACCGTTTGCCCAACCACACCACCCCCCCACAAAAAAAAGAAAGAAAAGAAACAAAAATAACACTATTGTTTGGAAATACTCTGCAATGTATCCAACTTTTTTATAATTTCTGTAGTGGAAATTAAAAAAAAATTCAGACAATAAACACAGCATATGCCACCCCTTGTTTTCCCACCGGCGCAATCACCAAAATGCTGCTACAATTAATCAACTGACAATTCATGTGCTACCCCTCGTGTATGAAATCAGATTACATGTACATACATGAAGTCACAGAGTACCGGGTAGGTCTTGCATGTAACAGTCGTTGATCACAATATGTTAATGTTGGACCTCGACCTGCCATTTTCTTTGGCAGTAGTGCACCATTTCAGAAAGTTAACATTATATCTGAGCCTTAAAATGTATGTTTGTGACTAAAAACGTCACTCTTTATTGGACACTTCCAAGGGCCCATTCAGCTTTGGTACACCAAGCTTACTAGGTTTCATTTAATCAAAAAAATATGTAATTAGTCTTCCGTTTTGCTGCCACGGTTTCATTGTTTCGCTATGCGGTACTAGCCTTGTCTCGAGGCATCCACGCAGATTCACAGACTAAATTCCCCATGTGTGCAATAGTCATACATGTATATGTGAGTAATGCCTTGTTTGTACCTTGATTTCATAGCTAGTATGGTGCGCATGTGAACGGCCAAGTGTGTATACACAATGTACTGTACCTCGCCGCTGCGCTGTACCGGCTGCCGCTCACGCATGGAGCCGCACGCCATGGCACTTGCAAGTATTGGCACCGGCATGGCACAGACGACCTAGTCATGTGGCAGAGTGGTGCAATTTAGCATGTTTCAAGGGTTTGGTAGGCATTTATTTTTTAATACTTTGCAGAAAGTTTTCTTTAGTTTTTAAGCCATTCTTAGAGGGAAATTTTGCAAGTTCTGTTTCAAGCAGTGGATTCCATTTCAAATTGTTGATTTTGCGAATTCCATCCACTTTCTGCAATCACAGAAAATCATTGGCTCTATATGTAACGACTACTTAATACTCCGTGTTTATATAGCACAATCTACACTTTCAACTGTTGAACTGCAATTTTTTTTCAAGCATGTCAAAATAATCAAAATCTGTACTTTCTGAGGAAAAATTGTGTGGTTGTATTTTCAACAAATTTCCATACAAAATGTGGCAAAATCGTACTAGTTTGCAGGTCTGCTACTGATTTACAAAATTACGTTAAAAACCTTTCAAGATTTTGTAAGACAGACTAAGGCTCTCAATCTCTTGCTTTATGCAAATTTAAACTTAAATGGTAATTCATTTAAGTAAAACACAATAACCAGTTCAACTCACAAGAACATGAGTAAACGAATTTGCTGCATGTTGCAGACACAAGTCTACTTACATACGATTTTGACAGGGACAAATGGTTAGTTGATCTTGTGACATCAATGATATCATCAACATCACTAAATTGATGTGACCTCTGGAAGAGAAAATGGTAAAGAACATGTGCTCAAATGCAAATGCACTCTGGTAAACACCAGATTATGATGGTATCTATTCAAAATGGTTTAAATTAATACCACTTCTATGCCGGGGCTTTTTTTTTCTGGCAAACACAATGATTACATGCAAACCAGTCAGATGCTAATGTATGTACACAACACAGCAACTTTTAATTGGCAACCAGAGGTTGTACATGGCAGCCATGTTTCCCCTAAGAGATTTGTTTCACAGGGATACACAAGTAAACCTTTTGTGCTATCCCTCTGTAACAAAAGCAGTTACCGGAAAGATAGCTGCCATGATATTTGTGTTTTACACAAGTTATTCAGATAAAAGTGTATCATTTGAAAGTTACCCTGAGTGAGCTCCTGGGCCTAGAGTCCATGATAAAACTAGCTTCATCATCTTCATAAGCTTCAGGTTCAGGATTAGCATAGGATACGGTAAACACCTTACTGACTACATGGCTCTCACTCCGTCTATCACTAAATAAAAAACAAAGAATATAACTAATAATTAATTTTATCAACATGATTATTCTTAGCATCCTTTTAGTTCTAGACCTTTACCCACAAAGAAAGCAAGAAACATGTAGCACATGTATGTGTGTAGCTTAAGAGCTTAAAATGTATGATTTCATGAATCAGCAGAATTAGATTTTACACAGACAATCTACATGTAGGATTTCAAGCTATTCATGGTGACAGACGACTAAGATGGAGAGCTTGCGGTGAGCACCATGCAAAAAAAAGAGATATTGCATGGTTCTCACCGCATGCTTTCCTTCTTAATCTACATGTAGTTAAGTACATCTTTTAATCTCAATTCAACTCCCGTCAACATTCATTGTTGTAATTACCATATTCCCTCCCTTTTCTATGGATAATCTCATTCTACGTCTCTTTTTTCTGGGTGTTAACACAAAAGACTTTTGTTCTAAAAACACAGACTGCTACATGTAAGTCTGCTCCATTACATATGACGTACATGTACCTGGAGACAGCAATAGCTTTGATAGTTCTCTTGCCCTCGTTGAGAAGGAATGGTCCTTTGTACTTGATGGTGTTCTTATCTGCCTTACGGTAAGGATCAGGTCGATTACCATTTGTTGTTAGGTAAATGATTGCATCAGGAGTCTCTGTAAGGATAACATCAACAATAAAAACACTAAACAAGGTTACATCGATGATTGTCGTCTTCAAACTTTTAAGTGATACAATATCAACTGAATGAGTACAGATCCACTTCAAGCAGTCTCATGGGGTAAAATGTGGGAGAGCCAGGACATGTAAAGATACTATCAAGAGTTGCACATAATATAATTTCACACTCTTGCTTAATTAAGTGAGCTGACAGCAAGTCTCCCTGCAAATGGAGATTAACCCTCCTATGCAAAGATGCATTCTTGACATGGTAGTCTTATGAGTCAAAATCAGTCAAGTAACATATGATACATGTACACGTATGTCTAAATACTACATGTACATGTAAGTGGAAGGAAGTTTTGACTGTTTTTGACGATTACTGCAAAAGGAGGGTTATTCATTTATTCTTACCTGATTTAATTTCTATGAGTGTGTTAGTATCAACCTGGTTGGCTGTTCTTCCAGGTTGTGGTACTCTCAGTGGGATGATACTAGGTGCAGCTACAGCCCCAGCTGATGGCATGGTGAACACTGAAAGAATTCCTAGGAAATACATTGTAAATATCACTATCAAGTAATCTCAATAATTTGGGACACAATTCATACCCTGTCTGCTATTAAAACCCTCTAGAAATCACAGCAGTTCATTACTGTCATTGAAGAAATCTCTCTGATGGCCAAGTAAATGGCATGAGGTGAAAAATGGGCAGTAGGCTTCTGGGCTTCAGTTTGGGGATATCTTGTTTCAATCACATGACCACATGGTGATATGATTGGGATACTGTAGGGTGTGCCATACACTGCAGGAATATCAAGATACAGGTATGTTTTACTAAAAACAGCTCATATCCCTAATAAAAGTAGTCAGATTTCACCTGTAAAACAGTCTCGAAACTACACGTATCTAATAGACCTTATTTACACTGTATCATGTTCTCTGAATCTACATGTACATGTACATGTATCATATTCAATGCAATCTGTTACATGGGATGCTGGCAGACTGTTAGGGGTTCCAAACCTCACTTAGATGTACATTTTGTTGAAACTAATGTACTGGCACATGTAGCTTAAATCATTTAGATATACCGGTAGTTTATCACAAATTTTGAATTCTTCTTTAAAAACAGGTATGAATTTGTGTGAACTTTATTTCATTGCTGTTTGTTTTATTCTCAGGCTTTTAATATGAAAACTTTTACCCGCTTCCAGCCCCAGCCCGACCGACCCAGAGCGGCTGGCGCGACCACGTCCAGTCTCTAGGCTCTCCGACCGACCCCCCCGTCGGGGGACCGGGGTGGCCGGAGGAACCCCAACCGGCCGGCCTGTGCCGGTCTGGATGCCCAGCCGGTCGCAGGTGCCGCGCCCGGGAGAAGTGCACGCAGCCGGGCGCGGAGGCGCCCCCAGGCCCCCGGCGAGGGGGGTGCGAGGCCGCGGCGGGCGCTCCCGGGCCCGATCTGCGCAGCCCCCCTGTTTACTTCTTGACGGCTTCACGTACTCTTGAACTCTTCAGAGTGCTTTTCAACTTTCCCTCACGGTACTTGTGCTCTATCGGTCTCGTGCCGGTATTTAGTCTTGGATGGAGTTTACCACCCGCCTTTGGGCTGCGCTACAAAACAACCCGACTCCTGGAAGCCCTGGTCGCCGGCCGGACGGCGCCCGCAGGGGCCTGACACCCACCACGGGACGGAGGGGGCCTCAATCAGAAGGACCTCGGCGCCGCCGCACAGGACTTCCCTACGCCACAGTTCCTGCGGGCCCGCTGGGGGCCCGGGGATTCGGCGCTGGGCTCTTCCCGCTTCGCTCGCCGCTACTGGGGGAATCCTGGTTAGTTTCTTTTCCTCCGCTTAGTGATATGCTTAAATTCAGCGGGTCCTCTTGCCCGACCTGAGGTCGATGGGTTCGCAATAGGCCTCGGCCTCTCTTCTCTCTCTCGCCTCTCGGGGGCCCGCCTGGCGCCTCGGCGGCTGCCAGGAAGGGGGGCTCCCCTCCGCGGCCCATCCGCGTGGGCTCTCTTCTTCTCTCTCTCTCGGCGCTGGGCGCCCGCTCCCTCTCCAGCGGTCCACTCGGAGATCTGCCACGGGGCCAGCGGTCCACTCGGTCCCCGCTGGCGGGGCCGGGCCTCCCCTTTCTCTCTCTTGGCCTGCCCTGCCTGCCTGCCTGGCCTCCTTCCGGCGCGCTCCCTCGAGGCCGCCCGTGTCTTTCTTGTTGGGCTCGGGGGGAGGCACGCTCTCTCTGCTCGGTAATGATCCTTCCGCAGGTTCACCTACGGAAACCTTGTTACGACTTTTACTTCATCTAAATGATTAAGTTCGATCATCTTCCGGGCGCACGAGCGAGGCGCCAGGGGCGCCCCGCCGCGGCCCGTCCGAGGATCTCACTAAACCATTCAATCAGTAGAAGCGACGGGCGGTGTGTACAAAGGGCAGGGACGTAATCAACGCGAGCTGATGACTCGCGCTCA